GTGAGGACGAGGGGGATTCTTTTTTGGTTGTTATTGCGGGGACGGGGTGTGAGGGATGAGTAGTGGGAAATGCGGGAGACACGGTGGAGGGTGTTCCTCCCACTTCCTACAGACAAAGGGGGTGGCCATGGGTACCCGCATGGGCCCAAGCTATGCCTGCCTCTTTATAGGTTACGTGGAACAATCCCTCTTCCGTACCTACACTGGCCCTAAACCCCACCTCTTCCTCCGTTACATTGATGACTGTATCCGTGCCGCCTCGTGCTCCCACGAGGAGCTCGAAAGTTCATCTACTTCACCAACACCTTCCACCCCAACCTTATGTTCACCTGGACCATCTCTAATACCTCTCTCACCTCCTGGACCTCTCTGTTTCCATATCGGGCAACCACCTAGAAACCGATATTCATTTCAAGCCCACCGACTCCCACAGCTACCTAGAATACACCTCCTCCCACCCACCTTCCTGCAAAAATGCCATCCCCTATTCCCAATTCCTTCACCTCTGCCGCATCTGCTCCCAGGATGAGGCATTCCACTGCCGTACATCTCAGATGTCCTTGTTTTTCAAGGACCGCAACTCCCCCCCACCCCGACCCCATCCCCCCTCAGTGGTTGAGAACACCGTCCACCGTGTCTCCCGCATTTCCCGCTACTCATCCCTCACACCCTGTCCCCGCAATAACAATCAAAAAAGAATCCCCCTCGTCCTCACGTACCACCCCACCAACCTCCGGATCCAACGCATCATCCTCCGATACTTCCGCCATCTGCAATCCGACCTCCCCACCAAAGACATTTTTCCCTCCCCACCCTTATCTGCTTTCCGGAGGGACCACTCTCTCCGTGACTCCCTTATCCGCTCCACACTCCCCTCCAGTCCCACCACACCCGGCACTTTTCCCTGCAACTGCAGGAAGTGCTGCACCTGCCCCCACACCTCCTCCCTCACCCCCATCCCAGGCCCCAAGAAGACTTGCCACATCAAGCAGATGTTCACCTGCACATCTGCCAATGTGGTATACTGCATCCGCTGTACCCATTGTGGCCTCCTCTACATCGGGGAAACCAAGCGGAGGCTTGGGGACCGCTTTGCAGAACACCTACGCTCGGTTCGCAACAAACAACTACACCTCCCAGTCGCGAACCATTTCAACTCTCCCTCCCATTCCTCAGATGACATGTCCATCCTGGGCCTCCTGCAGTGCCACAACGATGCCACCCGAAGGTTGCAGGAACAGCAACTCATATTCTGCTTGGGAACCCTGCAGACCAATGGTATCAATGTGGATTTCACAAGCTTCAAAATCTCCCCTCCCCCTACCGCATCCCAAAACCAGCCCAGCTCGTCCCCGTCTCCCTAACCTGCTCTTCCTCCCACCTATCCCCTCCTCCCACCTCAAGCCGCACCCCCATCTCCTACCCAGTAACCTCTTCCCGCCCCCTTCACCTATCCGTCCTCCCTGGACTGACCTATCCCCTTCCTACCTCCCCACCTACACTCACCTTTACTGGCTCCATCCCCGCCTCTTTGACCTGTCTGTTTCCTCTCCACCTATCTTCTCCTCTATCCATCTTCTATCCGCCTCCCCCTCTCTCCCTGTTTATTTCAGAACCCCCTTCCCCTCCCCCATTTCTGATGAAGGGTCTAGGCCCGAAACGTCAGCTTTCCTGCTCCTCTGATGCTGCTTGGCCTGCTGTGTTCATCCAGCTCTACACCTTGTTGTCTCAGATTCTCCAGCATCTGCAGTTCCTAGTATCTCTAAATGATGGTCTGAGAACGTATCCCATCAGATGAGGAGATCTGACTGAGATGTGGAGGGAGTCAAAACTGAAGATAAGGATGCTGACAATGCCAGTGGAGAGGTGGTCCTACCCTCAAGGAACTGTATAGTTTATATCTTTAAAACTTTAACTTACTTTGTTTGGCAAGAATTGAATGATAATTTGTTCCCTTTGCACCAATAACTCCTGTTCAGTTTTGGGGACAGAGGGTCAGTATAGCATTATACAGAAGTGCAAGGGGACTGATCTTTGTCTGAGATCTTCTGCAAGGGGCATTCATCAATACTAAGAAGTGAGGTGCTAAACTATGCTGACTGACTCTCGAAACCCTGACATCTAGATTAAAATCTTGCTACCTGAGGTAATATTGCTCCCAGAGGAAAGCACTGGATGAAAGTTTCAGTGCTCATCACACTGCTGCACATGATATATATGTGGGTGTATGGTGATCAGCATCCATCCAGGTGGTTTACAAGGAAAATATAACAGTCTGAAGCCATAACAGATTGAAAGAGGCCACAGGACTTTTGTACAAAGTGCTTTATTTATTTTAAGTGAAATGTTTTACAGAAGATTGACACCTAAAGTGTCTTTGATGTTCTTTAATCTTTCTTCTCCTACCTTTGCATCTTGGTGTCACCTTGGCAGATGCAACTGAGCTTGAAGACATCTGCTGACTGTTTTACTGACCTACCTCTGAGAGCTTTAATGGGTATCCTCTGGTGATCCGGGGTCTAGAGAGATCCAGCCTGCTGGTGATCTCCTGCAGAGGTACAGGTGCAACTTCCTCAGTCGAACTTGTTGGACTGGGTTTGAGTAGATGCATATCAATGAAGCATTAAATGATGTGTGTGCCTGTGATACCTGTTCATCCTGAAGGCATGTTTTGTTGTTGTGTCCTTGTCCCATGTACATTGGTGAAAAACCATCAGATGTGCCTAGTCTCCCAGTTGTGATAAAAGCTGATGGCATGTGAGCTACTGAGTGTTGTAGTTCCTTTTATGTTTTAGGTGTGGGCCCTGACAGGTGTGTAAGAACCAGTAGCACTGTGTTGCAAGAAGTGCCACATTGGTAGCTGCAATGAATTGACAAACATTGGTTACAAAGGGATGTGATGGAGATGCCTGGTACCAAATATTGTCTGTGACATTCCTGTGTTGACACCTTTACAATGCTAACTCATACTCATAGGGGTATGAAGCATTGACAATACAGTTGTACCTACCTCAGGAGGGTGCAACGGATCATTCACCCATTCGTAGCCCTGGAACTAGGTTCTCTTGAGCTCCACGCAGGGACTGACCTCCAAAACCCTGTCCACCTGTTTTCATGAGTCAGGGTGGCCTTCTGTTTTCATTCATAAGATAAAGCGCTTCTCTTCTTTCCTGGCCAGCCTTGGAAAACTGCCAAGAGACATGGTGAAAGAATGGTGCTGATTTTTGCTGAATCACTAACTTCTCCAGGGCTTGGTGAGGTGATGTGCTGAGGTTGATTACTGCTCCTGTGTTGCAGTCCAGGTGCCCTTTCAATGTGGCACCTGCAAGTTGTAGTGCAGAAGGCCCTAACCCTGGTGGGTAGGGGGCTGCAGAAATTTCAGCCTGTAAAATTGGCATCTTACCCATGCATAAATATGCAGTGAGTGGAGAAGTATCCAATTGTGTGAGTAAACCTGCCCTGCTCCTGAGCAGAGGTGCCTCCCACTTTTGGACCCATCTCCACACAAGGTTTTGTCTTAAATACAACCTTCAGATTAAAGTAGCAGAGGTAAATTATGGTCTGGAGCAGTATGAGTGTGCATGAAACCTGGGGCTGTTTGGTGAGGAATTAGTTAGGAACCTCCACCATGATGTGAAATCGTATAGGAAGCATTTTGTGGCTTGCCTGCCTATTTGATTTAGGGCAATGCTGGCTCTCCTTATTTTTACGGATCTTGTAGTCCCATTGCTAATCACTTCTTGCCAAGCAGCCTGGGCATCTCTTTTGTGCATGAAATAATAAAGACCCTCGTTTTTGTTTCATCTTCCACTAGCACCTCCACAACTCTATTCGCAAATTGAAGAAGCATCACCCTTTTCATTGCAACATTGAAGTGGCTCCTTTAAACAGGACTTTACACTTTTAAAGGATGCTGTCAAATTGCAGGCGAGCAATATCTGTGGTGCCCCCGCTCAGGGCTCTTACTGCTTTCAAACCGCTTGTTGAAAATATCCCTGTATTTCGAATTCAACAAAGGGAGAGTGTTTTTGTCTCGAACGACTGATCAAGAACCTTTACTGATTGACCATTGAAGATCTCTGCAGTGGAAGATTTTCTTATCTTCGAGTAGCAAGCAAGTGAATGCAAAGAATTATAGGTTGGAATAAAAACGTTTGGGGGAAAAGTTCAAGTTAAAGGGAACATAATTGTCGCAAAACATACTCTATTCCACGCTCCGTTCATTACACTGGGAAGTCAAGCTAATTCTAAGTTCTTTGTGCGAGTTTCGCGAACACAGAAACTGCTGCATTGGCAGGGAATCCGTGCAGTAAATCGACAGAAAAGCTAAAAGTATACCAAAGCTGCTTAATGAAATATACCTGGATATTGGGCGGGAGAGAGCAGGTCAAAATTTATTGCCACGTTAGAAAAGTTGTAAAGTAAGTTTTCCCACTTTTGTTGTCATATTTTAACCTTGGCATTCGCCGCAAAAACAGGAAAATGATTTATTCACCCCCCCCTCCATAAATGGTGCTTAGTGGAAGCTCCAGCACGTCTTTCAGATCGTGTGATCATCCTTTTGAGTAGTGTTCATATTACAGCCTTAGGGTGTAACATACACAAGTCTGTCTTTGTAACACGTTAGCAGATGGAGCTATTAAAGTTCAGGATAATGATTTACGACGGAAATAGCCAGCCTTCATCTGATTTCTCAAGCTAGGCGTAAAAAAAGCTTAAGAGACAAATCCTTTTTAAAAGAAAAGGAACGTTTCTAATTCGGTGTAAGAAAGAATAGAAGGTAATAAATCAGGAATTTGCCCCCCACCCCGAGCTGGTTGTGGAAAATATTCCAGGCTGGTGTGTAAGAGTATGTTAGTGTGAGATTGGTTGCAGAAGGCTGACAGAAAAAGTGCACAGATGACCGGTCCGGAATGAAATCCTTTCTCATGTACTGCACACATGAAAGCTCTGGCACACGAAGCCAGGCAGGAGATGGCATGTTAGGGAGTGGAACATACCATTAGTGCAACTAGAAGAGGGGAACACATCAGCAGGAGCTTGGAAAATGCACCAATGAGTTCGCCCGGCACAAATGTATGCGGGACTCCGAGCAGGGGAAAGGAGGAGAAACCATACGATACGACCAGCCTCAGTGTTTTTCCTAAAAGTGTTTAAAAACACACGTGAGCAGCAGCTTTCCCCCGGTTCTCTCTAACATATGTCTAAACACACCCGTGAACTGCATGTGTTCGGTTCCTGCTGGACTATCAAAGATGTGGCAGTGAAGTTTGCAGCAGCTCCAGTATCTGTTCCTTACTTCAGTGACCGAATACCGAGAGTGCTGGGGAGGTGAGCTCCAATAACCCCTTCTTTTCCAGGCATCCACTGACGAATACTTTTACTGAGCGAGAGTGAGTGCTTGCTTCACTTTGACTCTTCGATTTCTGTTTTCTTTTACTGTGGAGTTCATGGAGCCAATTTAATGTTACAGTGTGGCTACAAAAAACATCTTTGGGGAATTGCTTGTACAATTGTAATGGGGCGGGGGAGTGGGGGCAGAGAAAGTTATTTAGTGGAGATGCTGCGCTTTTAAAAGTACTGCATTGCTTACGAAACTTTACTCTTCAACGATTCATTTTCGGAATATTTATTGAATACATGTTACCTTAATTAAGGCATTTTATACATTATTTCACAAACCGTACAATCTTAAAGGATCTGCGGGACAGATTATCCCCTTTAGCTCCTGATAGGAAACATTGTCATTCTTGTGGGTTTTAATGAATCTCGTCAGTTCCAACAAGATCCTATAGAGTTCAGTTGTATCATCCGATGGTATTTTAAGATTCATAGTCACCAAATACATTTGTTATGATATTTATTTTCTACAACATTACTTTTCACTTTGATTCCGATCTACCTTCCAACAACATTTAAGAGTCTGTACGCTTGCTTCCTTTAATGCCGCAGGATACAATTTATGCGATTAGTCACTTCTGCTAAGGGACTACATGTGGCTTAATTTTTAAAGAATGCTAGTCATTTCCTTTCTGAGATTTCTGGGAGTTGATTTTTTTTTCTCTCCTCTACAGATCAAAACAGCAATTGCTGCTTGGGACATTTTCTAAGCTGCAAGCCGTCTGTAAACCTTTGTATTCTAAGTATGATGTATCCCATTGCAGGGTTTTAAACAACAACTATTTGAAGTATTCATCTGAGCTTTTCAGCCAGTTATTAAAACGAGGAAACAATTTTTTTTCTGGGATTTGGAGAGGGGAGAGAATGCATCGAACCTGAATGAAAGATTACAATCAAACGTCCAACCTACCTTTAATTGTATTGAAATTCAATGTTTAAAATTGCCATGCTTGATCCTATTGGAGCCTGTGAGAAGTAAAATCCTATAAGATTCGTTGTCAAATCTTCAGTATCCAATAGAACCATACCACAGTTTTGAATAGACTGTTCCACTGAACCTTGATAAGGGTGGTGCATGTGTAGGTATGTTGTAGTTACTAATTAATTTAGTGTGACTTCTACCTGATTCTTGCAAGAAGAAGAGAAAAGCTCAGAGGCTTTTGATTGCTTGCTGGGGTGCCTTTGATTTCCCCATTTAGACGCTACAGGAAACCAACCTTTTTTTCCCTGTGTTCATGGATGTGTTCAGAAGGGCACAGGAAATCTCTTTTCTCTCTATCTGCTGCATTGTAACAGTCAATTAAAGCTGACTTTAATTTTACCCATTGGTGCTGTAGGGAGGTACTGTTGTTTTTAGAAAATAGTATGTTAGTGCCACATATAGAATAAATAGAAAGAGGAAGGTTACGCTTTGCCTTTGAAAAAGAATGTTATTCTATTGAAACGTCTTAGCTGCTTGGCAATGGGAGTTTATTTTGATCATGTGTGACAGATCTGAAGAAGTGGTACTATCTTTGAGATACGTTATTTTAAAGAATGGAGACTATCAGTTACTGATGGGCACAATATAACAAAGTCTTAATGCTGGTATCTCTTACGGTATATGGTAAAGATAAAGTGCAATGAATTAAAAACACATTGATCAAGTATGTGAGTGTACTGAAAATGGGGGCCTCAGCTGATGCCTGCTTCACATGTGGCACTGCCTTGCTATGGTCATATGCTTCTGGATTCTGTTGATAACTTAGTTTTCTTTTGTTCATGTTTTTAAATGCTATTAGGATGATTAGACTGTGTTGTTTCTTTCATGATCATTTATCTAGGAGCTGCAAGTCTAACAGTCAGGCTGATATTGTGTGCAGCAGTTATTTTATTGTTTGTGATCGTTATGTGAAATACATAAATGTAGATATAGTTGAACAGTTTTAGCTTGCTTGGCCAGCTATAACATGACTTTTACAGAACAAACCATGAATGCCTGGAGCACTGCAATTGTTTTTAGCTCTATGATATTTGTTTGATTTCAAATCTTTTTAAATATTTTCTAAAATCTCTAAATGAAAGTGGTACTTATGTACGTAGAATTTCTCTTTGCAGTGAAGTGACACATCATTTGGGGAGATGGGGGAAATGTAAGAAATTTAGAAGCAATGTGTAGAATGTTTCAAAGTAAACAGTTAGTAGAAACCTTGGTTTTTTTTTAATTATTGATTTTAGAACTGTTAATAGCCATTGTGTTCTGAGTCCATTGCACCAGCTTTCATGCTGATATGCTGCTGATTCCTTTGCCAAACAGTACTCATGTGGTCGTTCTTCAGAATCATTTTCATGTATTTGTAGATTGATGTGTGAATACTTTCCTTATAATCATACTCTGAATCAGATGTATTGATTTAATGTTGGCTGAAGTTCTTAGCATTGATTAGAATTCAAGTGAACTCCAATCAACATTGGGTATTGTTTAGACCAAATGGCATCACTACTCTTTCATAGTACAAAATAATTATTACATTTTTATACATTATTTACTGAAAAGTTATGTAACTGCGTTAGGGAACTGTTTGTAAAGTTTTGGAAAATTCCTGCAAGATTGTTTAGAGGGTACAGGTCATTTTTATTGGTTCAAATAAAGAGACGTTCCGAGAGGGAATTCCACAGGTTAGGATCTGGCCAGCTGAAGACTCTGTCAATGAAGGAGTGGATAAAATGAAGGATGTGCAAGAGGGCAGAACTAGAGGAGTGCAGATTTCTTGCAGAGTCTGGAAGAAATTACAGAAATTGGGAAGAGCCGTGGGCGGATCTGAAATCTAGGATCAAATAAATATAAAATGAATTATTTCTTAAGAGGGAACCACTGCACGTCAGTAGCCAAACTGGTATGATGATCTAAAACAACTACTGCATGAGAAATTTGTTTACATAAAGAGGTGTTGTTGAGGTCCCAGTATTGCATGTACATTTTCCAAATATGCATCTTGCAAGTTTGTGTCTCGGTAGTCAGTAGTTCTAGGGAAAAGAGGTTTTAGTTGCCTGGTTAGGTTGAAGGAGCTGTGGTTATTTTCCTAGGAGTAAAGGAAATTGAATTGAAATTCTGTAGTATTATACAAGATTATGACAGTTTTTCTTTCTCTACTTTGTCTAACCTATCTTAGCATCTAATGGTACAAGAATGAAAGAACACAAATCTAAAGTTTTGGGAATGAGCTTGCATGGACTCGATAGGATAAATGAAATCCTCCTGTGCAGTAACGACTATATGAAAGACTGCTTCTGGCTTTTATATTGTTAACACATTTTAAAAACTATGGGTATACAAAATCCCATAAGAATTGGCCTTTGGATGCCTCAGCAAATAAGTACTTAAGAAAGTGGGGACCTTATAAGGAGGGGCCCCATCCTGTTTGAGAGTTTGACATTGCTAATGGATGCAAAAGATTTGTTGAAAATTTATGAATTTTAGACTTGGTGGTTCTCTTTGCATTTTAGGATCACCTTTTATGGAAGTACACAGGTTTTGCGTAGCCAGTTGTTAGCAGACTGAGTCTCTAGCATTCCTTAAGTAATACAGTAACATAGTATGGGCTTCGTGTACAGGTAGTACACAGACTTTTAAGAGCAGTGCCACTGGATTACATACAGAAGTTTGAGATCTACTCTTGCTTCTGATGCATTCAATTGAGGGAAATGCAACTGGAAGCATTAGAGATAATGCATATGCTACACTGCACCAGCATGATAATCTAGGACCACTGTTTCTGTATTGTTGAAAAGGAAAACAAAATCAAATCAGACAAATTATTTCTATTTTAGCTGCTTTGCTTATCGGGACTGGTTTTCTCACTCTCTTTTTATGTACCTCGAAAAGTTACATTTGTAAAATACGGGGAAAAATATTTCTGAAAAATCAGTAAACTTACCCATTGAACTTTAGAATACTCAGAAGAATTAAAATTTTATTTGTGATGGTGGTTGTCTTGGTTTTGTTTATCACCACCATAGCTATTGATGTTGATACTGAATATAATTTAATAAGGAATGGGTATGTTTAAGAAAATGAAGAATATAAGAAGTTGTTGGAAAACACTTACATTAGAAGCAGATTGTATTGGGAGAAGAATTCACAAAGGAGTGGTGACTTAAATGGTATTCTTTGCTGTAAGTTCTGTGATTTTTTTTTTTGGTGGTGTAGTGGTAGCAGTCTCACCTGAGGTTGAATTTCATAGGCTCAAGCACTATTCCGGGACTGAAAGTCATAACCTAGGTTGATATCTCAGCATCATCCTGAGCGAGCATTTAATCCTCGATAGCAATTTTTAGATGAAAAGTCAAATCGAGGTCCTCTCTACCTTTTTGGTTGGCAATAAGAATTCAATTGCTACAATCAGTGGAAAGAACGGAATATCTAGCAGTGTCCTGGCCAAACATTACTCTTAGGTGTTAACCAAACAGATAGGAGTGCAGGAATTTCTATTCTTGAAAAGGCTGAGGGCCATCACGTCACCATCTAACATCATGATTGCGAGATTTGCTGTGCACAATTTAACTGCTGCATTTCTGATATTAAATGATTATACTTTAAAGCTAGTTCGTTGGAAGTAAAATGCTGTGAAATGTCTTGTGATCAAGGGATGCACAATACAAATGCATGATATTTCTTTATCACTTTCACACTTCTCTCAAAAGCATTCTTAAATGCTACTTGATTGATTTTTTTTTCGGATTTCTCAGCTAATCAGTCAGCCATCACTATTTTATGTTTGGTTATTTTTAATGCTTCAAATGTTTTATTCAATAAGTGGTTCTACGCAAACAGTTTGTATTGATACTAATGTGTATTTTTTTAACAAAAGATAAAAACTGAGTAGATTAGGAGAAGAAAGTGTGTATGCGCATAAATAGAAAGCTAATCAAAGAGACCAGAGTAGACATAT